AATCTAGTTTTATCCTAGTCTCTAAGAGAAGGAAAACTAGTTTTAGTTATGAGGTCAGGGCCATTAGGGTAGGGATCAGAATAAATATCTTTAAAGTAATTTAGGGCAAGATATTTTGACTTATCAACGTCAAATTCCACTAGAATTATTTTTCAGAACTTCAATAGAATTCTTTCTCTTATGAATAACAACTTTATGAAAGAATTTAGTATTTTTATCACCTAATTTAAGCCAATTAGATCTATATTGGTGGAACCAATATGATTCCTCAAGATCCAAAATTTTCTGATAATCTTGTCAAAGGGTTTTAGAAGTTTATTAAGATAAGAGTTAGTTCCTTAGCCTAATTTACGATATATACCTTCAATCCTGCTAAAGATCCTTTTCTTTTGATTGAATATATTACTAAACATATTTTTATTCCAACTAAAGATATTGGCAATAAATCTGCTAATATTTTAAGATCAAGAGGAAGAAGGGATCCAAGAATTTTTAGCTTAGTTACTAAAATAAGAATGAGAAATCCAATTAGTAAGAAATTTGAAGTTTTTCTTATACTCTATTTCATTATTGCTGTCTTTAATTTTTAGCCAAAGTCCAACATGGTTTGATATAAGTACAGGTATGTACAAAACAGAGCTATTAGGGAAATAGAACTCTAAAAATCATTAATTACAACTATCTATTCTTTCTTGAAAAAAACCTCTACTCCAAGTAAAAGGATTTCCTTTAAAACCCAAATAAAAAAGATTGTATTAATTTAAAAATCAGCAAATTTATTCATTTGGTAAATATTGACTTTTTGACCACCAACTTTTTTATTATTATAAAAGACAATATTAAAATCCCTAGCAATATACTAGGGAAGATTAATGGCTTTACTTAGCTCAACTAACTCCTTTCAACATTTAGTTTTAAGTTTTTCAACAAGACTAACATAAATGGAAGATAATAACCAATCCTTCTTCCCAAAATTTTTAATTTTCAGATGTATGACAAATCTAGATTTTGCAAACACAGAAGCCTTGATCTTATTAGTGTTTCATAGGCACCATATGCCACTAGAGAAGCCAATAACATCAACTTTTTCATTCATATCAAGATTGATTTTCATAATAATTTTGTCAGCTTTATCTTTGCTAATCCTAGATTCAAATAAGGCAATAAAGTCTAATTTATACAAATTAATGAGGTCATTAACTAATCTATGAAAAGACTTATTACCAACTCTCCTACAATTTCACAAAAAATAGTTCATGAAACTAGATTTGAGTAATTAAATAGCATCCTTAGGATGCTTAGTAATGAACATAGCATATTCCATCCCTATATTATTAGCAGGTGTCGCATTATTTTTTAAGACAATTTTTTGTTATATTTATATCCACAGATGATAGAATATTTAAAGGTTTTTCACTAGGATCCCAAGAGTTATGATGACTTATTCCTAATAAATCCTGAATAGAGCCAGTTTTAGAAAAGTTTTGATTGGCTTTATTTTGTAACATCTTCACAAGAGAGTTATTCATCCTAACATTATTGACACCTATGTCATTATTGTTTGATATCTTCTAAGTTTTAGATTTACCAAAATTTCTATTTCTCTCGTTATTAATTTCAGTTTTAATATTACTTTTGAATTGAGTATTCTTTTTTGAGTTATTAGTATTAGTAGGTTTTGAAACATTCTTTCCTAAAAATTTAGGTTTACTCAAGTTCCCTAAGTACTTTTCCTCATAATTTTCTACTTTTTGGTTTCTTATTACAAGGTTCAAGTTAGACAAAAATTCTTGCTTCTTACTGTCCTTAGTTTCCCCTAACAAATAGAACTTAGAGCCAGATTAAGGATTCTTTCCTTTACTAATACCACTTAGAGAATCAAAATTTTTCATGGAAATAAGTTTTTTCCTAACAAGTTTTTTGGCTAACATCCAGGAACCAAACTTGCCCTTATTCTTCCCACCTTCTTCCTCCATGCTAAATTGGGTACTACTTTTTGTAATAACCTTTGAGGAATCATTTACCTCATTGTTGTTAGCTTCACACTCAGAAGAATTAGAAGTATATGGTTTTTGATCTTTTGTTAATCTTAGGGTTTCCAACACAAGTTTCTATTCTATGTCCATACTTACCACAAGTAAAGCAAATGAGATGTAGACTTTTATATTTAATCCTAAATTTCCTCTAGCACTTTAAAGGAAGAAAAAAGTTTTTTATTCAAGTCTAACTCAACACATATTCTAGCAAATTTTCTTCTAAAAACTAAGGAAGTGTGGGGATCTATTTTTAGCATACTCCCTAAAGAAGCCCTTACTTGCCATAGAAATTTCTCATTATACAGTTTTAAAGGCAAGCCAGGGATATGGATCCAATCTACTAATTTTTTTGAGATTATAGTCCTTAGGTTTGAACAAAGGTCTCCACCTCTAAACCAGAAGATAGTGATCTAATATTAGTCAAGGTCCTTTGAATAAAGCAAGTTTATAGTCATCTAAATTTTTAAATTTTACTAGATAAAAATTATTATTTAAGTCCAAAACTTGAAGATTACTAGTCTTTCCCCACATAGCCCCTAATTTTTTTATTAAAAAAATTAAAACTTATGAATTTTCCTAAAAGTTTAACTATTAGGGTAAATTTTCAAGTCGAGCACCATTACTCATAATCCTCCAGAGGAACTTTAATCTCAAGGCATAGATTTTGGGTATCGTTACTATCTAAGGAAGAATCCTTACTTTCAGGAGGAATATTAAGCTCCTCCAGCACAAGTCTAATTATTTCCTTATCACCTAATACCATATTTATGTCTTTGGATCCAAAAACTTTATCCTGCTATGAATTGCAGATAAGAGAACTAGGGATAGAAAGAACCTAATTTGTTGGGGAAGAACAAAGAGTGTCTTCCTGCATACGCTTGTTTAAATCTTCCTGACCAACCACAACCTTCATTTTGACCTTCTTCTTGCTTTGAGCCATTAGATCTGTCTCTTTTGTGGATAATTTTTCAACTTTCGCCCTCACTATGAAAGCTACATTTTGTGAGCCAATAGGACCAAGGGCAAAAGCCCTTAAAGATCTCTAGAAAACATCTCTCAAATGAACCTAGTATTGTAGCAGCACTACAGGAAAAAGAAAGAAAATAGAGTTAAAAAAACCCTAGTAAAAGAAAAAATGACACCTCTTTCTCCTCAATTCAGAAAAAAGAGTTTTAGAGAAAAGTTTGTATGTATACTATATTTATTTCAAATTAAAGGCATGCAAATTTGTTATTTTTATAAATTTAAGAATTAATGTATAAAATATATTTAACTTTTAAAAAATAAATTATGTAAAAATGCATTTGTAAAAAAGTTATTTTTTTTATTTAGAGTGTGTTTGAGTAAGTAGTTTGTAATATAATAATTAGTTCAATAATAATTATAATATATATTTAATAAATTTAATTATAATATTTAAAGTAATTTATATTCTTTTTATCTTACTAAGTCAATTTAATTATATTTATATGTTTGTCACGTGTAATTATTAATTAAATTTAAATAAGTAAACATATTTTTTTACATAAACAATTTTTAATAATTTTATTTTTTTTATTTTTTTAAAATGTCTTCTAATAAAGAGAAATAAATTTATTTTGATATTTTCATATTTTATAATAAATAATTAAAAATAAAAATATTGTAATTATAAAAGATTTTAAATAATAGAGCTGAGTCAAAATAATTAATATATAATGATTGATTATAATTTATAACATAAATTTTATATCGTATATTACTTTTTTAAAATTTATAAGTTTATAATTTTATATATAAATTATTAAATAAAATAAAATAAATATTTTTATATATTTAATTAAAAATAAAAATAAATTTCATTCGTATTGACTTTATTTTAGTATATGTCACATTTTAATTCATTATAATATATTTCATATTTGATTGAAAACTAACTTTATTTGTACTATACTCATTATAATATATATATATATATATATATATATATATATATTCAAGTGTTTATTATCATTTTTAAAAAAATTATAACAATAAGAAATTAATATATTATGTTATTTATATTTAAAATTTAACAGTTGTTTTTTTGCTTTTATTTAAATTAATTAATGTTTCTTTAATTATTTATTTTATAAAAAATTATTTATTATTATATAATTAATTTATTATTATTAATTATTAATCAAAATTATAATTAATAAATATAATACATTAATTTAATTAAAAAAATAAATGTAAAAATTAAACTAACAACATACCATAATAAAGTATTTTATAATTTTTTGAAACAATTGTATTTAATATTAATTTTATGATGAATTTTTAGTAGAATTTAATAAATAATAAAACTAGTTTTTTAAATTAATTTAAAAATAATTTAATATAAATTATAGTATAATTACGAGTTCAATATACTTTTTAATTCCTTTACCATAATCTTCAATGATTACTTTTAAAAACAAGAGACTTCAAATTATACTTCTTTAAGCTACATACAATTGCAAACAAAATTAAATATAGAAAAATAAATATAAAATAATATATAAAAATATGATTTTTTTTATACTAGTATAAATTTAAATTTTTTTATATTTAATCTGAACTTTTTATTTAAATTATATTTAATAATTTATTATTTCACTTAATATTAAATATAAATTAAATTAAAAGTTGAGATAAAATATAAAATTTTTTAAACTGATATAAAAAATTATATATATATATATATATAAATATAAAAGAGAGTTTTAGTTTAATTTCTTAGTTTTAAATTCTATTTACATTTTTCTTTTATAAATTTTATAGATTAAACTGTGTATTTCAAATTTTAAAATTACAAAAATAAAACATTAATTAAGTTTAATGGATGATACATCCTACTTATTATTAATATTTTGATAAAAAATAAATATATTATTATTATTATTATTATTATTATTTCACAAAAGGGTGAGTTATTCCTAAAGTAAAACCCTAGTTGGAAGTTAGAAACCAGCTGAGTTCCAGACTTGTTGTTTGGGAAGGTGCTGTTTGGTCTGATTGAGCCGTTACTGTCGTCGGCGGCTGCAATCTCGCCGTCACCGGTGAAGCACTCACCGTCATCGGTGTGTGTTGGTGTTCTTGTATCATCTCAATTCACTTTCGTTTAGGCTTTTGTTCTTAGCACATATCTGAAAATAGATATTGTGTTCGTGTTCCATTTCGAGTTGCTTAGAGACTGAGACCATTGCGCCAATTGAAGCTAGTCTCGTGCGACTCTTGCACGTCCGCTACCACAGTAAGACATTGTTGTGTGTATCAGATTCTGTATGTGTGTGTTTGCATCTTCCGTGGTTTATTTTTCTGTTATGTTTGTTCTTGTTGCTGATTATTTTGTTTATTGTACTTGGGTTTATCTTTTGCTTGATTGCTGTTATGTATGTGTCAGTGAAGCTTAGTCGTGTAAATAATTCTTCATTGCTCTTGTTATTATTGTTCAATGTTATTTCTCAGCATATTTTTTATGCAAATTTATTTGTATTTTTGTTGAAGGTTTTCTTGCCTCTTTGCTATTTCCTGACTGTTGGCTTGCTGGATCTATTTCATTAATATCTTTATGCTTTCATTTGGAGCTATATTGTTATTTGTTAACTTGAGATTTGTGTTATGTAATTTTAGGTCTAAGACCTAATTCCATGTGCTGTGCTTGTTAATTTAAGCTGTGAAATCTATCTGCATTACTTAGAAGTATAAAAAAGTAGCCCTCAATTTTTCTGTAAAGAAAATTCAGAAAGTTGGATTTAAACTTGTATGATTCATGGATAAACATCTGCCAACACTTTTACAATGAGGAGTAAACAAAATAAATGTGTAACTGTGTAAGTATATAATAGATCATTATCACTTTATGGAAAATGTATACCAACCAAGTTTAGAATAAGTTCTCTTAGCTATCTAGTAACATAAGGTTAATATTTAATTGGGACACCTTCAGGATAAAGAAAAATATAGGTTGGTTAACTACACAATAAGGATCAACAGAACAACCATCATATGTATGAAACAATAAGTATGACACTAATATTCATCTTCTACTTTAAACTTTGAGGATTACTCTTACAAACTAAATAACTTTTTGAAAAAATTCAGGCCATGGCAAAGATTTATCTAACCCCACAATAACTTTGAGGATACTTTTACAAACCACACCAACTACTCATCTATTAAGCATTAACATTATCCAAACTATGATAATAATAATAGTAATATCAGTTCTAACACGGTAATATTTCTGGAAGTAATACTAATTGGCATTGTATATTTTCTGAATTATGGCTGCAAAGAAATTGCAAAAGAATAAAAAGAACTTGCAAACAATGGGCCAAGGACAAAGTCACTTCCTGTTAGGTGGACATTTGGTTGGTTAAAATGCGAGACACAGATTGTAAATCCTTTTTCCTTCTCTTATTCCCTTTATAAGACTTACTATAAGTCTCTTTTATGGAAAAGAAAAAAAAAAACTAAGATCTTGGTAAAGTCCATGCTTAAATTATAATTTGGAAATTATTTTTTGAACTATTTTTTTCCTAGTTGTACTATCCTTTTTGCATTGCTTTTAAAAATTTAATTCTAGAAGAGTATGTAATATATTTCAAAATTAAAAATTTGGAAAAGCTACACTTCCATAATTAAATTCTTGAAAGAATCTTTAATTTAGAGGACTCTTGAACGTATCCTGGGTCATTCATCTTTGTATTTCTCTATCCTATTTCAGTCTTCCTCCATATTGGGGCAAGGTTGATTCTAGGGAATCTTGAGCAGTAAAGACATTATTTTTCTCTTCATATTTTTCTGATCCAGTCTGTTATCAAATTCTTTGTTACATGTTTTGTTAGCTTTGTCACATTGGTGTGGGTCTTTGGGCTTGTTTGTTGCTTTGGTGCTAAGCTTTTGGGTGCCCCATTAACATTGACCAGAAAAAAATTTCAAAATTATTAGGGATCTACTTTTTGTATCTTTTTTTTTAGCTACACCACCCTTTTTTACATCTTTTTGAAAATTTTCAGAATAGAAGATATAAAATGATAAATTAACATAATATACTAATAATTTATTTATTACCATAAATGACATAATCCTCTTAATTTAAAAATAAAATAAAAAAATTGTCTTCCTTTCTCTTTCACCAAAACCCTTCTTCCTAAACAATCCTTGAAAGTTCAGGTTGATGTTTTGTTCTGCATCCTGTTTATAAAGTAGCTATCTGTACTCCAAGCAGTCAAGATGTATAATGCAAACTTGAGGAGAACTACATTCACCTCTCCGCAGAATAGAAGAAACGTATATGCAGTGTGTTTAATTTATGAAGATTTGTACAATATGTAGAGTTTTTCTAGAGTTTTTAATAGTTATGTTCCTCCCTGAAGTGAAATAAATTTGTCTTTCAGAAGAAAGTCATGGCAATGATCCATGCCAGGTCTGTTAGACACATTCTTAGCACCAAAGAGGCAGTTGGGTTTGCATGGAAACGGACTTATGCAACTGGTAAAGCAAAGAAAGGATCTAAAGGGGGTGGAGCTGCTGATGCACCCAAACAATCAACCCTTAGCAAGGAAGTCAAGTCAAGCACAGTTGTAGGTGCCAACATTCTCAAGGATGGAACTGATCCAAAAATCCTGCCTGATTCAGAATACCCTGACTGGTTGTGGCACCTGCTTGATAAACGCCCGGCTCTAAGTGAATTGCGAAGGAGGAATATTGAAACACTACCTTATGAAGATCTAAAACGCTTTGTTAAACTGGATAACCGAGCAAGGATCAAGGAGAATAATTCTGTCAAGGCAAAGAACTGATTCAATGTTCGGAAAGAGAATTTTGGGGATGAAATAACAGTGGAGTTGTTTCCTTTTCTTTTCTTCTATTTTTTGTGTTTCTCTTACCTTCTGGGATTCCTTTGAGTAAATTGGCGTGCATATGTTCAAATCATTAAACGGAACAAAAGCCAAATAATTGCATGATTTAGCACTTTTTATTTTTATTGTTCTGTTTGTCCTACTTCTTTTCTGTCTGTTATTCCTTGGTATTTTTGGTTGATTCAACCTGATTATCTTTGTTGATTGAAAAGAACTGTCAATAATTTTTTCCTCTCTTTGCTTAACTTGTTAAGACTAATTAGAGGGTTCTTGTATAAATGGCGAAGAAACCCCCTTCCCCTAAAATTCAAAGGATTGTGGTAAATAAGAACTGGTAATTTGTATTAATTTACGTTCAAGAATGATTTTTATCTCAATACGAAATTGGATAAATCAAGTGTTGTCGTGACTCCGGAATGGTAGTTGTACAACTGTGCGTGTCGTTTTGCTTTCATTCAAAAATCACGTTGTGTAGCTAAAAAATTGGATAAAATTCCTCTTCAGAGTTAAATATCACTGTCTAAGGAACAATTTGTTTAGAGGAAGATCAATTTAGAATTTTAGTTTTTCTGTTAGAAATGCAATGAGATATATAGTGAGAGGAATAATACTAACGTATTCTTTTAAGCACATCTTTTGTGTTTAGTCAGTTTCCTAAAAGGTAAAATAATTTTAAAAAACATTGATTTAGGAGCCAAGTATTTAACTTTTTAAAATATGTATTAATCACAAGTAATATGTTAAAGAATATATTTAAAAAAATGTCACTAACATTTTTTTTACGCTTTACTGTGATTGGCATTACTCCTTTTATGTGATTCTACTTACAGAGGGGTACATTGTTGTTTAGAAAGTTAAACTAGTTCCACCATGCAATAATTGTTTAGTATTCTATTGCTTCTTGTCTACATGGGCCATAGTTTTGACATTGCTATCGAACTTCATGGGTGGATGCCACCATCTCCTGTCCCCCGGCTACTGAACTTAACCAATGGGGGATCAAATAGTATCTCACTTTTGGCGGTTTACTAAAAATGCATATTGCTATTTCCCTTTTCTATCATTGACATGGTGGAGCCCTCTGTTCAGGATTAGTCATATACTGGAATGGGTTTGGTGAACTTTTTATTTGCTTTATCTAAAATGGTTGTACTATTCTAATTTCACTTTTTTTTTTCAATAATTTATAAACTAAATGGTTGTACTATCTAAAACATTTTCTCCTAGTACACAAGCACCAAGTGTGCTTCTATCTTTGATTTAATGTATGTTAAATTTATGGAGTACTTCAACTTAAATCAAAGAGGGATTCACTTATTACTTTTCCAATTTATACACTATATCTCTTTAAAGGAGTCAATTTTATTTAAGAATTAATAGTTATACCGATGAATATAATGTGTATTGATCACAATTTAGTGGTCCCTGTACTGTACTTATCCCACATGTTAGACGGTATAGCGTGGTAAGCATGCAAGGATAAATGATAATGAAGTACTGTAGGTTAAAAAATTATAAACGTAAATTTAATTCAAAAATTATAATCAATAACATTAACATAAACATGAATTTATAATCGTTTAAATATAAATTGAGACTTACATTATCGATCACGTGTGTTTAAATTTATGTTAAGAAAATAATAAATATAAATTTAACTTAAAAGTTATATAACTAGTACCATAAATAATCTTCTATTTATACACAAACAGATGCAAAATTAAACACACAATATCTAACCTTGTTCACTAAACGGGATATTGGGAAGTTGTTAGTGTGGTTGTCATGCTACTTGATCCCATGTGAAGGTGTGGTTTGATGACCCCCCACTAAAGGAAGAAAGAGACTAATAGAAGTTAAAAGAGGAGGCAAGAAAATGATACTCTTGGAGGGAGGAATTGGACATGACATGCATCATCATTGTTGTTAAAAGCAGGCAACCTGCCCTATACAGCTTTTGGATGCAGTACCTATGTTAAAAGCTGCCTTTCACATGTTCACTTTTGCTTTTGAATGTTGTGATTCCAAGATCAATGAACATCAATGGTTGGACTAAGGTCACTATTAAGCAAGCACCTTGCAAAGACAGCTCACCAATATCTTTAAACGTAATCCCTGCCACCATCATGTCCTAAGCAAGGTGAACTACCACTATCTCAAGGGATTATCAACCATCATTAACTTACATTAAGGCCATTGCTTCTCATTATGTGTTCACCCATCAACTTGTACGTTTCAGTTGGGTGATAATGTTTGTTGGTTTAGGAGATAATGCTGGCTTAGCTACTACATTTATCTTCAAATATTGGAGGGTTTTTTTCTTTTTAATCTATGGTTGAATTACATTCAAAATGCTAACTTTTGACTTGTGCATAACTTTGATGTTCAGTGAGACATGGGAGCAGAAAAACTAGGAAAATCTGTTAGGATTAGTGAGGTTAGTATTAAACTTAGTAACTTTGATTAATGAACACTCAAAGAATCTCAACACCCCTTTGATATCCGTTGTATCTCTCTCTTTCTCTCACACTCATCATATTATCTATTACTTCTCTATTTCCTTTTCTAATATCTCTTCAAGTGGAGGTATGTACTAAACACTTTTTTAAACATTCTTGTTCAGTAAATCTCTAATTTAGTCTTTAAAACTGTATGAATTAACTTTCTAGTCTTAGAGTTTCTAATTTAACAATAGCCTTTTTTTAATGTAAAATAACATTTAAAAAATAGAGTAAAACATAATTAAAATATTCTTTTACAAAGTCAAAAATTAACAATTTTAAAAAAAAATTAGATGATAATATATCTGATGACAAGAACTATGCTTTCTTCCTCAATTACTGGATAAGATCTTTGTAGAAAAGTAGAAACTTTATAGACGGGATATTTTCAAGAGGAGCACATCAGCCTTGTCCACCACGCGTGCTTGTTTTTTTGTAATTTACACTTCATAGTATGATAATGTTAAATTACCTCATGTCTACTTGTTCGTTACATTAATCTCTGTATTCTTTGTTTAACCATAGAGATAGTCCTAATAGACTGATTAATTAACATTAATTATTGAGTGGTGCCAATGCCTAGTACTTGTTGAAGGAACCGTGGTTAAGGATGGAAATAAATTAAGTCACGTGTGACTTAAATTTTTTTTTAAGTTAACTTAGTTTGACATTTTTTAAATAATAAATTTAATTTAATTTTTTAAAATATTTAATTTAATATATCATACTTAAACTTAAGAAAAAAAAATTATAAGACTTAGTAGAATAAAATATTTAATATTCATAAAATTTATAATAATATATTAAATAATTTTATATAAAAATTATATTATATTAAATAAATGAAATTTTAAATTAAAAATCTTAATCATTTTTATTAGAATTATAACATATTTCTACTCGTTAGAGCATTTTCTGTTACGGATACATAATTTGTCTTATACACATAAAGTTGATCTATATTTGTATTTATTGAATATTTAGTGATTTACTTATTTAAATTAAATATATAATTTTTTTAATTAAAAGGAATAAAAGTTCAAAAAATAATAATTAACTTCCTAATCTAGGATTACAAACACATAATGAATTTAATCTAGGATTACAAACACCTAATTAATTTAAACAAAGAAAAGGAGCTAAGGCGGGAGGATCCTTATTTAAACAAGAAAAATCTACAACAAAATCAAGGCTAATTTTAACAAGCATATCATCACACTTATCCTTAAATATAATGAAAGTGATACATTTCAATATATCATCACACTTATTCCTAACTGCACTAATCAAATTTCACACTTATTCCTAATTGCACTAATCAAATTGAAATAAGGATAGTTACAATTTTGAATATTTAGAACTAATTGCAAGACATCCTTAGTGTCTATTTCAATTCAAATAACTTAGATGTTCTTTTTGGTTACTAACTGCAAGTCACGTAAAAGACCTCCATAATTCTGCCTCTAAAGGGTACAAAATTCAAGGCCTCTATGGAATTCAGCAACAAATTTTCCGTTGTTGTTGATACTCAACATCTTGCACTCTCCATAGCCTAGGACACTGTCCCATCAACATTCAGTTTCAGATGACCTAGGAGAAGGGAAAGCTATCAATCATAGTCTTGAATATAATTAAATTTGTAATTTGAAAGTAATAAATAAAATTATGTAATTTTATTAAAATTATTCAAGATGCTGAACTATTTTTTTAATGACTTATTTAGGTATAAGTCTTTTGACCTTTACAGATACATATTTATTTAGATGATTTAATAATTTATTTATAAAAAGACTTAATAGCCTATTAAAATTTTGAATATAAAGTAGATGATTAAAAATTTATTAGAACAAATTAGACTTTTTAAAAGGTTAAACTAAATTCTTAATAAAAAGTTTATAATAAATAATAGATCAATTTTAAACTTTTAAATTATTAAATAAATCAAATTTATTTACACAAAATTTAATCTATTTTTATCTCTAATTGTGGTTGAAAAGTTTATTAGATAATAAAAAAAATTAAGAAAATCAAAATATTGCCTCACCTTGGCTAATATTTCTTTGGCATTTTTTTTAATAAAAATATGAATTCTAAAGACATATTCTATTAATTAAAATACAAATTAAATAAAAAAAATTCTTTGACATCTCTTTTAGAGTGTATACTATATTAGGGATGGCAATGGATAAAGTATCCGATGGGCACCCGTAAAATTTACCTACAATGGGTAGGGTATTTACCCGCTATACGGGTATGGGTATGGGTATGGATAAAAGCCCGTAAATTTTAATGGGGATGAGTGCGGGTATGGATATCTAAGTACCCACCCCGCCCTATACCCGCATATATATATATATATATGCTTGAACTTTATTCTACAATTATGTATTGAATTTTTGTATTATTATATTACTTATGTGAAGTTATATAAAATTAATATAAAAATATATTTAATAATAAAGTAAACCAAAAAATTTATTTTGGTTTATATTTTTAATAGAAAAATTTATTTACTATTTTATATCATTTAATTAGGCTAACACAATTTAATTATTACATAGTTAATATGAGATTGACTTTTTTTAAAATATTATTTATATATGACACACATAAAATATTTTTTACACAAATATTTTTGTTAATAAAATCATATTGATGTTTAAATCATAAAGTGAATGATAAATAATAAATATATTATAAATATTTTATAAATTTTACAATCACCTACTATTACCGTAAACTTGTTATTTATTAATAATATTTAAATTTTATTTTTTATATTTTAATTAAAAATAATATTTTTTTATGCAACATATGTATTACAAGCACAACTATAATCTATTGAATCTAAATAATATTATTCTTACTATTTATTCACATTCAAAGAAGTTTTTGAAAAGATATAAATATAAAAAATTATTGTTAATTTTTATTTGTTAATTTTTTTCAGATAAAAAAATATAATTTTTTTAATATACACGTATATTTCTTTATTATAAAATTTTATTGTAACTATTTATCTTTTATTCAAATTCCTTCTTTTAAAATTTATATACATTATAAATATTTAATTCACTAAAATAATTTTTTAAAAATTTATATTTTTGATAAAATACTTTCGTATAGTATGAGTTAAAAAATACTAATATTAATATATATATATATATATATATATTAATTATATTATATTATTTTAATTAAATCTATTATTTTTCTTACAATTTCAAATTCAAAAGTTAAAAAAAATATTTTATGTATCCACTTTCTATTGTTAGTATTGAACTTCTCTACTCTAACTCTATTCTCATTCTCAATGTCTGTCTCACTAAAACTTAACAACTATGAAACGTTACTTATTAGAATTAGTTGTCAACGCCGTCACAAGAAGTTACGAAATGATACCACACGAAGGGACAAGCATTGTACAGATCTATTTCGTTGTCGCTCTAACATTACTAATCAATCAAATCTCACACAAGATAAGATTATCACTGACAAATAACTTGTGTGTTTAGTTTTGCTTATTATTTCTAAGAATTTTAGTTTAGAAAATTATTATATTAAAATACATTTAACGTTTATGATCTTTGAATATTTGTTTGTTATCTATGTTTGTACCTTGTTCGGCAACTACATATTAAATTTTTGTATTATTATGCTACTTATCTGAAGTTATATAAACATATTTTTCTTTATAAATATTTTTTTCTCAAACAAGCGCGGGTAATGGGTACAAGACGGGTATGCGGGTACCCAGAGGATACGGGGTACGAGGATTAATATTCATACCCACGCGGGTATGGGGCCGGGTATGGGTATTTTTTTAAAACGCAGGTATGGGGATAGGTACTGTAGTACCCTACCCATACCCTACCCATTGCCATCCCTATACTATATATAAGTTTAATTTAGATAAACTTTTAAAAAATTATAAGATAAAAAAATTAACATAAAAATAATTTTTTTTTTCATTTTGATTAAGAAAATGCTGTGAAGAATCAAAAAGTGTAAATGGGTATAAAAGATTTAAAAAAACTAATTTAAAACATTAATAGAATATAGACAATACAATTAAGCTCTTTTAAATGAAACTTTTCATTAGGTAACTTTATTTTTGACAGAATTATTTTGAAGCATTTTAATTTATGACAAAGTATATAAGTAGTGAAAAATTACTTTGATTTTTGTTTTATTTGTCAATAACTTAATTTTCGTGTGAGGTCTTAATTTAATATTATTGTATTTCTGTTTTTCTCTAATAAAATGATGAATATATTAAAAAAATTTGTGAAAATAAAAATATCAATTATACTATTAAAATTAATACCGTATGTATTATTATATATAATTACTTTTATATTTAGTTACCTTTTATCTTTTTTATATGATTTTATTCCAAAAATATATCATAAAATATAAACAGACAGTTTTAAGTGTCCTAAAATTATTTTCCTAAAAACATAAATGAGCATAAAGTTCAACCCAAGAACAAAAATGCACAAGAAAGTTCAATAAGGTAGACGTTTATTGCTCACGACCTAGTTAATTTCACATGTGATATTTATTTTTTTCCTAAATACTTTGTTTAATGGCACAAATTATCCGTGTATGATACTTATAAAATAAAAGTGTTAATAACATATTTTTTAATATATTTTTAATTATTAATTAAAATTTATTAAAATATTAAATTAAAAATAAATAAAAATATAATATATAAAATTTATATTTTAACAAATAATTAAAATGCAAGAATATATTTTTAGGTTTTTTTTATGGTAAAATTTATAATTAATCAAATTATATGGTTTATTCAGTTCATGTTGGCATGCCAACAAAGCAATTGTTGATTATGCCGACAAAATTTGATTTATTAGATCGCAAGAGCAAACAATTCAACTACTTTAATGGTCGGTGAGTTAGGGAGACTATTATTGAGAAACCCCAAATCATATTTTTTCCTAAATGAAAGTTAATGCTATTTATACACTTCTTCTCTAACCTTTTTTCACCTCTAATCTAATCATACAATATTTTCAATTCCAAAATGATTGTTTTCTGGAAATAACATATGTGATTGTAGACTAAAAAATATATACATTATTTATTTGCATTTTTCTATAAAAAAATTTAAATATTTTTTTAGATTACAAGTATATTCTATGAAAAATAATCATATTTGAATTAAAAATTTGAATTCAAGACTATTGATTAAGTTATAAAAACCTTTTATATTCATATACTTCTTGACAGATTTAGAAACATAAATAAAATTTAAATCCTAGTCAATTTAGTTAATGCTATTTGACAAGTTAAATATTTGAACCCCCCACCTCTGTGATTTATAAGACCAACAACTATCGGCCATATACATATACAGATTGTTTGTATTTTTTTCAAAACAAAATTTGTTTATATTGAATTGATAAATCATAAAGAAGCATTGAAAAAATGTAGATAAAGCAAGTAAATTTTCTTTAAAAAGAAAATGTGAATTGACAACCTACCTATTTTATTTTCATAGATGCTATATTCTATATTATAAATGTGTGGCTGTGTAATGTGTTGCTACGTTGTGATAAAAAGAGAGTCAATTACAATAAAGTTAATAAACTTTGTCCAAAACATTCCAGAGGACTCAGTGCATTATTAGCTTTCCTTTCATCCCAGAAAATACTTTCTATTTTTACTTTTAAAAATAAGAATACTATTTTAATTTCTTTTATAAAATTATACAAAATAGTGAAACAATATTTTTCACTTTTTTTTTTATAAATTTTTTAAAACAAAAAATTAAAAGAATATAATATTTTTAAGTAAAAGTAAAAATAATAAATGAAATTAGAAAATAAATTGTCCAAGTAAAGAGTCCCTTTATTTCTTTGAACACTTGTATTGGGATAGCTCATAAGATGTGGATTGTGGAACTATCACTTTAACCATATCTTCATAGAATATAATTGATTGTTCAATGACTATGATAATTTATTTTATTACAAGTAGCACAAAGCATTTGATGGTACCATGAGTTCTGTCTCTGAAAGTGAAGAAAAATCACCCTTCTTCAGTTTAGCCTCCATAATTACTTCAATATTTTTGCAAACAGTAAGATCTCTTTTTGCATTGGTTCAACTTCCTATTCTACCATCATTGGAGCCAAACCCCTTTTCATTATTATTCACTGTTCAAAACAATAATCATCAATGAAACTTTTATAGGCATCTTAGAGTTCCCTTTAAGATTCCAACCTTGACAAAATTTTCTTGGAATATCACACCCCTTTCTCATGTTATCTTCTGCAAATGGTCTTGTGATCACTTTCATAAAGAATATTATTCTTTGCAGTGCCTGTTACCTTTTCTTGGTTAACTTTGTGAGAACAATTATAGCTGTTTCCTTTTTCATACTATTTACTTGATATTATTAATTATGATCACACCAACAACCCACGTAAGCAACCTCAAAGACCCTTCCTTTTCTTTGTTGTGCTCTTGTGAAACTCTATATATTTAATTGCACAGTGTTCTACAAGAATTTCCCAAGTAGTTCAATTTCAATTTAACCCTTTAATTTATTATTGGTCTCGTATGTTGTCTTCATGTGTATGCTTTAGTGCTTTTCTACATTTCTTACATGTGGGTATTTTGGTTCTCTTTGTACTTGTCCGTTCTGCTGTATAAGTTTTTGGTATTCCTCACACAAGTTCAGTTTTCATTACTCTTTATTGTGCTGCATCAGTTCTATCCTCAATTACTTTGCTTCCCTTTCACTTTTGCAGTCTTTAGTTTCAGTGTGTGAGGTTGAGTTGAGTTGATTTGGTTTTTGTTCTTCTAAGTTTTGTTAAAAGTTGTTAAGGTTCTTTAAATCATTAGTGCTTAGCCTTTGAATCTTCTCAATGCCTCCTACATACTTTCCTCTTCGTTGGGAGAGTACTGGGGACCAATGGTGGTATGCATCACCAATAGATTGGGCTGCAGCTAATGGCCACTATGACTTGGTTCGTGAGTTGCTTAGAATTGACAGCAATCACCTCTTCAAGCTCACTTCATTGCGCCGAATTCGGCGCCTTGAAGTGGTGTGGGATGATGAAGAACAATTCAATGATGTTGCAAAGTTTAGGTGTCAAGTGGCACATAAGCTGCTCCTTGAGTGTGAATCCAAGAGGGGGAAGAATTCTCTCATCACTTCAGGCTATGGTGGATGGCTAATGTACACTGCTGCCTCGGCCGGGGACTTGGGATTTGTTCAAATTCTTCTTGAGAGGAACCCTTTGTTGGTTTTTGGTGAAGGAGAGTATGGTGTCACTGATATTCTTTATGCTGCTGCCAGGAGCAAGAATTGTGAGGTTTTCAGGCTGCTATTTGATTTTGCAGTTTCACCGAGGTTTCTAACAGGAAAAGGTGGGATAATGGAGGAGCATATTGGGGACATTCCTTCCGTTTACAGGGGGGAGATGACCAACAGGGCTGTTCATGCTGCTGCTAGAGGAGGTAATCTCAAGGTTTTGGAGGAGCTTCTTGCCAATTGCTCTGATGTTTTGGCTTATAGAGATGCTGAGGGATCAACTATTTTACATGCAGCTGCAGGCAGAGGGCAGGTTGAGGTGATAGTCTTCTCTTTTGTTTATTTGAGTTTTGTTTCATTTTTTTGAACCAAATGTTTGGGGCTAGTGTGCTGCTGCTATTTTTTCACCTTCTTTCTCATATCCCTTTTGGAAGATTATTATGCTGGTGTAGTAGTAGGGGAGTTTTGAAAGTTCTCAACATCTCAACATACAATGTTTTGTTGGTGTTGATTGAACATGGATTTATTTTCTCTTCATATATACAATGAAAAACCACCTCGCAGAGACTAGTTGGTATGGAATATGATATAACAATAGAAATAATCAGATATTTAGTAAGATCCTTATTGTTGTGAGTAGTTCTTGCATGAACAGTGACTATGTGTATAGGCACAGCTAATTAAAAGCTTAAGATAACATTAAAGTGATTTTTTCATGGAATTTGTTGCCTTTTTTTATTATTCTAATTCATTTTTTGTTATTATTTTAATTCTATAGGCACAGCTAATTAAAAGCTTTTGATTGGTCGTGCCTATAAGCACTGTACTCATGAAAGAATTGCTCTATTGTTGTTGACCTTCACATATTATGGCAATTATGGTCTCAGAGGAGGATCAACTAACCCTTGCTTTTTCCTGTGTCATTTGTTGTGATGCTATGACATCGATTCTGAACTATTCTTGGCTATGATGCAGGTAGTGAAATATCTTACATCATCCTTTGACATGATCAACTCGACAGACCATCAAGGCAACACTGCTTTGCATGTGGCTGCATTCAGGGGCCAATTAGCTGCAGCTGAAGCTCTGGTCTCTTCATTTCCCACATTGATCTCTCTCAGAAACAACACTGGAGAAACTTTTCTCCATAAAGCTGTGTCTGGTTTTCAATCTCCTGCATTCCGAAGATTGGACCGACAGGTTGAGCTTTTGAGGAAGTTACTTTGTCTGAAGAACTTTCAGGTAGAGGATATTATCAATGTAAAGAACAACGATGGTAGAACTGCTCTTCACATGGCCATCATAGGAAACATTCACACTGATCTTGTGCAACTTTTGATGACTGCTCCATTAATAAATGTGAATATTTGTGATGTTGATGGCATGACTCCTCTTGATTACCTTAGGCAACACCCAAATTCTGCATCATCAGATATACTAATAAAAAAGTTGATCTCAGCTGGGGGAATGTTTGGTTGTCAAGGTTATAGTTCAAGAAAAGCCATTGCTTCACACTTGAGAATGCAAAGCATTGGAAGTAGTCCAGGGACATCTTTTAGAATCTCAGACACTGAAATATTTTTGCACACTGGCATTGAGAATGTATCAGATGCTAGTGCTGATCACGGAAGTGGAGGAGTAAGTTCATCTTCATCAGAACACGTTCCATATGACCCCAATGCCATCGGGAATCGGATCTCAACCATTAGTAAAAGGCCAAGTTCTGTAAACTATGCAGCAGCAAAGTTGAAAAGGGCCCTTCAGTGGCCTAAGGTGAAGGACAAGAAATCTGAAGGATTCAAAAAGTCTTTAGATGAGGGTTCAGTGGAATCATTCAAGAAATGGACTAATAGTTGTGATGAAACTCCAACTCCACTTAGACAAAGATTTTCAAATTCTAGGCCATCCTCACTTCCCAACAACAAAAGAACTCTATCTGTGAGGAGTCAACAGTCAAGTCCAAATGCAAAGAAGAGATTTGCTTCAGGACTAGTGCATGGAGTTATGCAATCCACGCCACATGCAAAGGTTTCAGGCAGATCTAGGTCTAGTTCCTTTTCAAAGTCATCAATTTCTTCACCTAGATCAATAGACAAGCAAAAGGGTATTTACATTGACAATAATGACATTGCTGGGCCATCTTGCTCAAGTCAAGTACCACCACCTGATGATGGATCCCCAAAGTTGGTAAAGAGAACTTCTGTTGGTAAGAAGTTGAGGGGCCACTATTTCTGTTTTGGCACACCTGGCATTAATGTCAAAAACTCAGTTCACAGGCAGCAAGAAAGCCAGGCTTACAAGGCTCATGCTGTTGCAGTGGCATAATTGGTGGGCCTTAATTATTTCCTGACCAAGCTAATGTAAAATAAGGAGGGGAAAAGAAACTTGATCACTGTGAAACTGCCCTTATAAGTTTGCTAGGAGAGGGTTCCTTAAGTTTTATAGATTATGTTTTGTTACTTAAGATTAGCTCATCCTTAACCACTTGTTAATGGAAAACTCGTGTTAAAATATTCCTCTTATCATGTTGGCAACAAATTAGCGCAATTTGGTGCCTAGTAATGTGAGAATTAGCATTACCAATGTACTTATATATTTTTGTTAGATGACTGACCCCCAGACATAAGAAATGTATAATGTAAGCATTCAGAGGGGCAAACAAAGACGATTACGAAACTATAACCTTTTCTTACAAGGTGAAGAAAGTTATATGAATCATAATATTATTCACCATGAGACTTATTTTAATAATTTTTTCTAAAATTTTTCTTATCCACTTTTTAACCCCTTTCATATGAATAAAAATCTCACTGATCAAATCACCTTATTTAATTTTTTTCCATCTCTTACTCGGATAACTGTCCCACCAATGTCTTCTCATATACAATTATTTAATTTCTTGTCCATTTTAGTGTGGCAAGCAAAGACAGATAGCAAATAATACTCTTCCACCTAATAATATACTTACTAGATATAAGCATCGAGTGTGGATGATCCAAACTTGGGAGAGCCAATCATTGTAGTCTAGTTCATTAATTAACTATTGTAATGCAATTGTTACAGGAGGAAGAGACAATCACAAAAAGATGTATAGCAACCTTAAAAAGATAGATGATGGTAAGAAAATATGAGAAGACAATGCATGAAAAATCACTTAAACATAATGAGGAGTTAGGAAGGAACTGAAAAAGCTAAAACCGTTTAGATTTTATTGACGTAGCTTAAAAATAAGGGATAAAAAAATAACCCTACAGTTATGAATTAGTAATTTTAATAAACATTAAAGATTGATTAATGGAGGAATCAAACAAATTAGAACATATCATCCAATATTCCACTAAACATTGCAGTGGAACAACTAATAATGACTAACTACAAGGACTTCATTCGGCAAAGGACACTCATCAATAAGCTCAAGTCGTTTAGGCCCAGAGGAAACAATATTCTTTGCTTACAATTTAGGGCCCATTTTTCACACCTCATTTTTTTTCTCACTTTCATAAATTAAATTCTAAAATTGATTTATGTATTATTTTATTTTATTGAAAATTAAATTTTATATAGTTTTTTTAGAGAAAAGTAAAGAAACAAGCAAAAATAAAAAATAAAAAATTACAATCTCAACATGGGATTTGCCTAACATCAACTTGAAGAAGTACTCTCAAGCCTATAAGAGGTGAGATCTAATATTTAAAATCATAATATGTAGAAGCTCTCAACTTAGCTAAAAAATTTATACATGTTGCATTCATGTAGAGTGTGTCTGATAGTGATTTGCTAATCTTTGCTCAATTACTCCTTTTTGCCGATTAGCATGCTTAAGGAAAGATAGAATGATTTTCATCACAGGATTTATGACGTCTATCACGTTAGAGTAACACAAAAGATATTTAATATTTATATTTCAAGTTATTTTCAACCCTTGATGCATGACTATGAGTTTAGCGTGTGTATTGTTAGAAATACCAATGAACTCATAAGCTCTTATAAGTCAATTTCTATTTCTAATAAGAGCATTGAATTTAGCTCTTCTTGGATTCCTCAAGCATCCCATTAACATTAAGATGAATTCAAAAATTTTGATTATCCTCCCAATGAACTCAATGCTCTAAGAGGCCCTGAGATTGCTACACTTGTTCACATAAATGAAGTTGGTTTGTAAGGCTCATAACATCAAGCATAATTTTATAAATTTAATCATTTTTTAAGCAATGCAATCAACATTCGGCCCTCCATATCCACTATAATATAACTAAATGATTCCTTTTATATTGTAAAAATATTATTGTTAAAGGCTCTTTCTTTCCATTAGATGATCCTCCAATATATACACCTTACACCCATAACATATATCCTAAAAATATCCCTATAATCTTGTCTATATACACTTGTAATCTTTGCATGAGGTTTGGTTATAAAATATGTATGGTAAATAAAGAAATAAATCAAACAACTATTGTAAGAATGTTCAATCCTGTAAATTAGGTGAATTGATTATGTTACTGCATTACCCCCCCTCAAGGTGGTGCATAAGGATTGCAACGCCCAACTTGCCAAGGAAAGCTTGGAATTGTGGGTGTCCCAAGGCTTTGGTGAGAATGTTTGCCAATTGTGTATGTGTAGGGACATAGGATGGATGAATATTCCCATTAAGGATTTCATTTCGAAGTAAGTGACAATCCACCTCAATATGCTTGGTACGTTCATGAAAAACTGGATCTTTAGCTATGTGTAGAGTTGTTTGACTATCACAACAAGGGTGAATGACATCCTTTTGAGAGATTCCAAGATCAGACAACAAACTTTGAAACCACTTAAGTTCACAGGTAGTAGTGGCTATACATCGATATTCAACTTCAGTAGAGGTGTGAGAGATAGTTGTGATGTCTCTTGGTTTTTCAAGAGATAGGAAAGTGATCTAAGAGCCTAAAACACCCATTGAGAGAGTGGCGAGTCAAAGGGCAGCCTGCTCAATCGGTATCATACCATCCTTATAATTGGAAATTAGACGTGCTACTAAGAATTATTCCTTGACCAGGACTTTCTTTGAGATATTTAACAACTCGAAGTGCAGCATTCTAATGCTCCACATGAGGTTGCTGTATAAATTGTGATAGGATATGGACATAGATAAATCAAGTATGGTAAAACACAAGTAGATGAGATGACCAACTAGGCATCGATATTGTTCAAGTTGGTTAAGAAAGAGACTTATAGCAAGGGTGAACTGATGGTTCTGCTTAAAGGGCGTGGATACAGGCTGGACACCAAGTAAACCCGCTTCTTAAATTATATCCAAGACATATTTGTGTTGACACATGAAAATCGCACTTAGGTTCCTTGCAACCTCCACGCCAAGAAAATATTTTAAGGTTCCCAAATCCTTTTTGTGAAAACATCTATCGAGATATGCCTTAACCTTTTGAATAACAACGAAATTATGCCCACACACAAGGTGAACATATACCAAGACAACTAGTTGCAACTCATGAACAAACAAGGTGAACATCAAGTGGTCAGAGAGCGATTGACGAAATCCAAACTTTATTAAGGTATAAGACAGTTTGGCAAACCAATATCAAGGAGCTTGTTTCAACCTGTACAATGACTTCTATTACTTGCAAACCAAGCTTGGTTAAGACGTGCAAAAACCTGGGAGTAACTTCATATAGACATCTTTATAAAGGTCACTATGGAGCAAACAATTGTGAACATCCATCTGATGGACCTCTCATTTCTTTGTTGCCGCAATAGTGAGGACAAGATGAACTATAACCATTTTAACCACAAGTGCAAACTCTCAGCGTAACTAATCCTTTCAACTTGATGGTTGCCAAGAATGACAAGTCTCGCCTTATATCTTTCCATAGTGCCATCAGAGTAATATTTGATCTTGTACACTCATTTACAACCAAGAGATTTCTTCTCAAGTGGCAACGGTCGAAGTGTTCAGGTGCCATTACTTTCTAATGCTTGAAGTTTGTTGCATTGCAAGTCTCCATTTCATATCTTGTGCGGCTTCAAACAAATGAACAGGCTCACATCCACCTTTTTTTACCACTAAGATATCCAACAAAAATGTAATGTTGATAAGTTTGTGTTTAGGCCCTCTTTTGCAGTCTATATATTCATGTTTGGCCTTTATTTTAATTGGATTTTACACTGATTTACATATTAACTGTACAGTTTAATATAAAAAGGTCACAAGTGGATTATAGGTGCGTTTTGGACTCAAATTGATGAAAGATTATAGCTTCGCAACAGTCAGCACGCCCAGACCCTTTCAACAAGCACGAGAGTGCTTCAAGCCTATGCATGGTCGTGCTTAAGGCCTTACACGACCGTACTCATCTACGGGAAGCTCAATTATAAAAATCTTTTAAGATTTTTAAACCCTATAAAAAAGAGACCTTAGGCATCTATTTGATGTCATTTTTATATCTTGTCTTTTGCTCTCTAATACACTTCTCATCTCTTTTCTTTTGCACGAGATCTTTGGAATACTCTTAGCGAGACTTAGAGCTTCGAGCAATCCTACTTGAAAATCAAGACCTTATCTCATACTCTAGTTTGCTATTTTTTTTTTATTATGACTTTGTTTACAATTATTTTAGTTCTTTCCTTTAACATAAGTAATTAAGTCCATAATTAGGGTTATGAGAACTATTGTTCATGAATTTAAGAGATTTTAATGTTTGAATCTAAATTTGATTTTCGTTTGTGATTAGATTTTATCCTATTTCGATTCTTTGTTAATCCTAATTAATTATATTGTCAGACGACCGTATCTCAGTTAATTAATAGATCTATAGGATAAAACGAAATAAAGGATTAGGTAGACCAAACCAATCTTTCTTTGTCAATTGTTATTAAATTAACAAGTTCATACATGTATTATATTTTCTTTAATTGATGTCTTGCATAACCATTGAGGATATTAATTTAGAGAAAAAAAATATTAATATTCCATAACCATTGGGTATTAATAGTATTTGTATGAATGATTAGTAATCACAAGAAAATTGAATTTAAAGTTAAATGAAAAAATAACATAAAATATTGAATGAGAAAACTTATACGCTCTAGGTTCCTCTCCTATAAGTTCAACCAAGACGTGTGTTATGTTAATTGCTTTTATTTATAATTAAATTTTGATTCATACTTAATTTCATATCTTTTACGCTTAAACAATTGAATTAAAAAAATTTTAGTAATTGAAAATCAATTCTTGTGGGACGATATTTCGGGAACTTAATTTAAGAACCTCTTATTATTTCTCTGCGGGTGCACTTGCCCATCGAATAAACTTTGACTTTGATTGACAAACTCATCTCCTTTTCGCCCCAAGTTATATACATAACATAAGCTACCAAAAACTTTCAAATGATCATATGAGGGCAACTGACCATGCAACATTTCATACGATATTTTTCCATGTAGCATTAGAGTGGGTGTGCAATTAATCAATATCCAACAATCAAGACACATTCACCCCTAAAATAGATTGGGAGGTTTCCTTGAAAATATAGTGAACAAGCAACATTAAGAATCTGTTGGTGCTTCCTTACTACTCTCCCACTTTGTTGTGGTG